TATATATATATATATATATATGTGTGTGTGCGTGTGTGTATATATTATTTCAACATAAGCGTGTCAATTAATCTAAAATTGGATTGAAACTTCTTTATTATTATTTGGCTTGGTCAAAGGTTGCTTACACACGTTGATTGTAAGAAAATTAGTACTTCATATTTCTTATGGTTTAATATTGTAATGGTCTATAGTTATAATTTATTATATAAATTCTTACGAGTTTCGGGTTCTTTTGAAGCAGTTTCGTCGTTCAGCAAAATCTTTTGAAAGTCGCATTGACGGAATGGAGAAGTTCCTCCACAGTCCAAAACAACAAAATATTGTTCTCTAGCGAATAACTTCGGGAGATGCACGACAGACGCTGTTTCACCAAACGTAAACTTTCACAAGTATATCGACGTTCACAATAACGCAATGAAACTTCAGTGATTTCTCAAACGAAGCCTAAGAAGTTAAGTTTATGCGAACTTTATGTTAATTTTATTTAATTTTTTTGTTAAAATTAAAATTTTGCGCCTAAATTTTTACATGCAAAAATTTTAATTTCAGAGTTTTTAAGTTTTAAAAAATTTATAAATATAAACATAATTAATTTTGTCTCAAAGTTCTTAATAATTTACATATTTTAAATGGCCATTTACAACATACCTTTCAATTCCTATGTATTTACATATTTAACCCCTAAACATTTCTTTTCACATTTATACCACCCAATCTTTCATATCACATAAAACTTACCATCATTTCAACTTTAAAAAGTGAAATACAGCATTTCATGCATAGGGTAAGATGGCACGTATTTAAAAATTGGAGTCTAAGAGCTAGATATGTAAACTCATGTGAATTCTATGGCATGTATGTAAATCTTCCTATTTTTAAATAAGCAGTCCATTAAAATCTCAATAAAATACTAGTTTAATGATGATTTAATCACTTATTCGATAACTTGTTCATATTATAACTAATTTTCTCATAATCTTTTTTTACATTTAAAATATGAAATTTCACATACGTAAAAGATACTCATAAAGGAAATTTCAAATTTTCTTACAACATTTAATGAAATGAACTTGGAATTCATATCACACATGAATATTTTATAATTTCTCTCTAAAATTAAATTAAATGAACATCATCGAGTCTTAGTCGAGCCGAATTTAAGTCGTTCATCGACTGCATTGGTTCATTTACGAGTTACAAAGGTAATGAAATAAGAATTGTCAACAGCAAGTTTGCAAATAGGTTAGAGAGTGCTAGTCGTAAAAGAAATTACGTGCAGACATGATGGGTAAAGATATGAGCGGATTTGATAGTATTGTGGTAAATAACACCAATCTGCATGTACATTATTCATACGTAATATTTCATTCATTTAAATATCAACATTTAGAGCAGAATGGCTGAGGGTTTAACATATCTGACAATGAATACATGTAACAAATGCTTTTCTACGATAGTGTAACGTGCGTCGAATGATTAAACCCTAGACCTTTAGATTCAGCATATGCTCGGCCGCAAACCAGTCGACTAGTTTTTGATGCATCTAGAGCATGTTGTGTCTACAAACAAGATTAAGCTTTTTTGCCATGTTATTATTATTATTATTTTGGGGGACGGGATGGAGATTTACATACATAGCAAATACTTTTTATGTATTTACATATCTAGAACCTAAACTTCTATATTTACAGACATAGCAATCAAATAGTTAATATCACATCAAAATAGCACTATTACTACTTTTACAAGTGAACATTCAAAGCATCAAAGTGCTATGTATGTAAATATGAAATTTTAGGTAAGATATATAAATACGTAAGAATTGTGCGCTATATATGTAAATTTCTCCCTTTGTTTTTTCCAAGTGATATTCATTGCCTCACTACACAATAGTAAGTAAACATCATCCAAACTGAGAAGAGGCTAAAGATTCATATGAATAGGTATTCTTAAATGCTTAAACTGAAGGCAAACCATTAAGAGTGTAGAGAAGAAAATCCAGTGAATTAGGTAGAGAACTAATTAACAACAAATATATTAACATTGGCTTCAGAATCCAGAAGATATTGAGTCATAATTAAAGTTCTCATTGTTATGTGATAAAGATCATTTGTTGTCGAACAACCCGAGAATAATTTGATATCTCGAGCACATTATTGCGTATATGCTGTCAAAGCACCCCTAAACCCCAGGTTTGGGCGCTCACAAAGAGGGGGGAAGCCTTTGCATCCCATTTTGGCACTCAAGCGTCTATATTTTTGGCGCAGTCAAAGGAGCCGGAGCTTAAGTGCCAGCCTTGGGTGCTCAAGTGCCTAATTTGTTGGGCGCAATCCCGAGAGCTTTGCTTCCAATGAGGTTGTTCAACTCAAAATGCTAGAATAATTTGATGCATGTCTTTTATTGCATCAACAACCCTAGGACTAGAGAGAGCGAGAGAATAACAGCCACTGCATTCCTATTAATTCATATGACAACAACCTAACAGCCTGTGTTAGACGACAATCATTAACGTTAATCTCCAACTGTAAATAGCTCGCACGAATCGTCTGATGTAGGAATACAATGTCCTTGTTATCCCTCTCTACATATCCTAACATCTGTATCTATCTACCTCAGCAATTACATAAAAGTTTAAATGGTATCAAAAACCCTTGCCGAACAGCAAAATCAAATGGATTCCTGTTCACCATCTCACACCCAGACTTTCAAACTTCTCTCAACCCAACAAGACCGAAGTTACTATGTAAAGAAACAAAAAGGCTTTTAAAAAAAGGCTCAAAAAAATATAAGTACAAATGCTCTTTTTACTTTATGTGCTACACTTCATTCCTCCTTTTCTATTCCTCTACTCTCACCATTCTTCCCTAACCGAGCTCCATTCGCCCCTTCTTATAAAGCCTTTGTTACCGAGGATCCGTTGATGTGATATAGTGAAAATGGTGAGAATTTTTGTTAGAGGGTATTGTTGGAAAAAAAGGTGATGGACGATCTTCTTGACCTAGTATAACATGTTGTCTCAGCTGTGGAGGCCAAAACCCTATTGTTGAAGAGCGAAAAATTCTATTGAAATGGCTTCCTGCCAATGAGAATCTTGTTGGCTTCGACAAATGAGGCGGGGTCTTTGGTTGACGTGTTGTGGTGGAGATTTAAGATTGTTCTGGGTTTGAGTGATCCTGTTTGGGATTGTGTTATCACGTGATTTGTTTTGGTTTGGCTTGATAGTTAATTGACTTGTTGGGTTATGTCGGTTAGGGGAAAGTTTTAAGAGGTTGGGGCTAGGTGGTGGTTTGGTATTTGAGATTGTGGTGGAGATGGAGGTGACTTGGGTGAGATGTTTATGTTGGATGTATGCACTAGAAAAGATGGGGGTTGGTTGGATGGCGTTGTGGTGGGTTTGTGTGATGATGCGCGTGTGTGTGAAAGGGAAATTTTGTTTCGGTGAAGGTTACATGACGTGATGTAATTAGTTTATTGTTGTTTAAATCCCAACATTTGTAGCCTTTATACTGAGAGTGATATCCCAGAAAGACACACTGTGGTGCTTTGGTTTGAAATTTGTTGTACATTTGAGTTTGTTGCCAGGGATAACATGCACAACCAAAGGTGTGCAAGTGGTCAAAAGTTGATTTAGTTTTATAGAGAATTTTGTGTGGGGATTTATTGTTGGTAGTGCTTGATTGAAGTATATTGATGAGATGGATAGCCGTGAGAATAGCGTCTATCCAGAATTATTGTGGTAAGTAAGCATGCTTGAGAATAATTCTTGTTGTTTCAATTTTATGTTTGTGTTTTCCCTCAACAACACCATTTTGTTGAGGCTTGTATGGGCATGAAATTTGGTGTTTGATTCATTGTTGTTGAAGATATTCATTGGGATGGTGGGATGGTGGGATGTGATATGTTCTGAGGATTTTTATAGTTTTATTGAATTGTATAGAGAGAAACATGTGGAATTGCATAAAATGCAGGTGTGTTTCTAATTTGCTATACATTGGAAAAACCCAGCAATAACGCGAATGCGCATCAATAAATGATATGTAATATTTATATCCATAAGTAGAGGGGATCGAAAAGGGGCCCCATACATCTGAGTCTATTAATTCTAATATATTGTAAGTAGTATTGCTACTTGGAAAAGCTAATATATTGCTTTTGTTTTGCAAGCAAGAAATGCATGATGGTGTGGTGTTCGGTGTGTTGAGATTGGTGTGTGCTCTGGAGAGTTGGAGGACTTTGTTATGGGGATGTCCGAGTCTCTGATGTCAAATTGGTGATAATGTAGAGATGGTGAGGGCCTTGATTGTGTAGAAGCCTTGTATAATTGGGCCAAAAAGGAGGATCTTCCATGTGTTCATGCACTGTATATAGAAATGGGAATCGTCAAAAGATAAGAAGCAATTATTGTCTTGTGATAATTGTTGAACAAATATGAGATTGTGGGTGAGGTGTGGTACAAGATGAAGTGAGTGAAGATGCAGCTTACTGTTTTGGGTGGGAAGTATGGTTGAACCTGTGTGTGAGATGTTTGAGGTTTGTCTGTTGCCTACTATGACTTGTTCGTTGCCTTGATAGGGGTTGGGTAAATGAAGATTGTCAAGGTGTGGTGTGAGGTGGCACCGATATAAAGTACCGATGTGTTGTTGAGAGGGTTTGTGGAGGCTGTGAGTGTTGTGTGTTTTTGTGGGTTGCTCAGTTTGTATTATAGGTTTGTTATGTGCCAACAATTAGCGGCAGAGTGACTTGGTTTGAGACATATCGGACATTTTATTGGTTGTTTGTTTCTGTTATTGGTGGAATGGTGCCTGTTTTTGTTGGGGGAGTTTTGGGGGACCTTGTTTGTAGTTGTTTAATTGTTACCTTTGGTTTGCGTGAATTCTTGGTTTGGGTGTGAAGAGTGTTATGATGGTTTGTTGCTTTGTGGTTTCATTTGCCAGATTTGATCCTCCAGCTTGATTGGCTTCAGTTATGTGTGTATAGTTGTCTTAAATCCTTATAGAGGACCTCCATCCCCTCCTCCAACTCCTCCGCCCCACAACTCTTCAATTTGTAGTTACTTCCACAATTTAGCATCAACGACTCAATCAACAACATCAACAAGTACTAGCAGCTATCTCCAAATCAAATCATGCTCTCCACATAACCTCTTCACCTTCTTTCTGCAATGAGTGTCAACTGACTGAAAGTCATAAACCACCCTTCATATGAGCAATCACAAATACAAACCTTTTGAATTAGTTCATTCTAATGTTTGGGGACCAAGTCTCGGTTACTTCATTCTATGCATGCAATTACTACATCTATTTTAATGATGCCTAATCACACTTTTGCTAGATTTACCCCATGATTCACAAAGTTCCACAAAATGATAAAAATTCAATTCAACCGACGTACAAGACAATTACATTTAGAAGTTGGAGATGAATATACCTCTAATATTGTGAGTAACTACATTAATATTCACGGTATAGAACATCAATTCAGTTGTTCCTATACTCTGAAACAAAATAGAATCGCAAAATATAAAAATTCTCACTATGTTGAAACCACCAAGGCTCTTCTTCATACAACTCACCTTCCCCTAGAATTCTAAACTGACTCACTAATGATATCAAACTACCTAATAAATAAATAACCATCCAAAAATAACAAAAAGCAACCCCCCTACCAACTTCTGCACAAACAAGAACTCTCATATATATACTCAACTCAGAATACTCGGTTGCTTTAGCTTCCCATGGTAACAATCATCTTCGACAAATAAACTAGCAACCAACCATTTAACTGCATTGTTCTTGAATACAACTCCTCTCATCACATTACCTCCCATAAAACCTCCTTGCCTGACACAATCTCTTCATCAACAGACTCTCTGCACTTGGGCATCAACGACTCGATTACCAACATCAACAAGTGCTGACAGCTATCTCCAAATCAAATCACTCTCGCCACATAACCTCTTCACTTTCTTTTTGCAATAAGTGTCAAATGACTGAAAGTCATAAACCCCCCTTCATATGTAGCAATCACAAATACAAACCTTGTGAATTAATTCATTCTCGTGTTTGGGGACCAGTCTCGGTTACTTAATTCTATGCATGCAATTACTACATCTTAATGATGCTTGATCACACTTCCACTAGATTTACCCAATGATTCACAAGGCAGAAACACTGAGAAAATTCATAAACTTCCACAAAATGATAAAAACTCAATTCAACCGACACACTAGACAATTACATTTAAAAGTTGGAGATGAATATACCTCTAATATTGTGAGTAACTACATTAATATTCATGACATAGAACATCAATTCAGTTGTTCCTATACGCTGAAACAAAATAGAATCGCAAAACATAAAAATTCCCACTATGTTGAAACCACCAAGGCTCTTCTTCATGCAACTCACATTCCTCTAAAATTCTAAACTGACTCACTAATCATATCAAACAACTTAATAAATAAATAACCATAAAAAAATAACAATAAGCAACCCCCTACCAACTTCTGCACAAACAAAAACTCTCATATATACTCAACTCAGAATATTCGATTGCTTTAGCTTCCCATGGTAACAATCATCTTCGACAAATAAACTAGCAACCCAACCATTTCACTGCATTGTTCTTGAATACAACTCCTCTCATCTCATTAGCTCCCATGAAACCTTCTTGCCTGACACAATATCCTCTTCAACAGACTCTCCCAAACATCTACTACTAACACCCAATCCCACACAATCTTACTCAAATCAACCCCCAACCAAACTCAAGAACTACTCCCCACCAATAACAACTCCTCACAACCCCTCCACCTCGTCCAATGAACATTTCTCAAATCCCACCTCTGAACAATCATCCCCCACTTAACCACATACTCCCTTGAGCAAATCACCACCACTATTGCACCTCTACCCAACACCACATGCAAACACATTCAAAGACAAGCTCCCTCAAACCCAAAATCATGTTTGATCTCAATAATTGCCTCTCATCATTCGTTCCTCTCCCCAATTCCGCTGCTTTTCTGAAGCAATCAAACATCCTATTGGCATCAGACCATGTCAGAGGAATTTCAAGCTTTACAAAAGCAAGACACATGGCGTCTCGCTCCCCCACTAGTCAGCCAAAACATTCTTGAATGCAAATGAACCTAGAAAGTAAAATTTCACTATGAGGGCACCATTATCCATCAAAAAATCCGCTTTGTTGCGTTGGGTTTTAAACAACAATAAGGCATTAACTACCATAAAATTTTCAGCCTGGTTGCCAAATTCCTCACCATCTGAGTACTCCTCAATATTGCTACCCACCACAACTGGCACATTCAACAACTTGACATCTCAAATTCCTTCCTTCACAGTACCCTCGATCCCCAGTTCACACGTCTCAACCACCAAGGTATATTGATCCACTCTGCCCACATCATAAGTGCAATCTTCAAAAAGCAGTCTACGGCCTCAAACACCTCGTTAGTAGTACTCCACCTACTCCCGACATCTTACCTATGGATTTAGAATGGGCGCAACAGACCCATCTTTGTTTCTCTTCCACCATAACTTCTCATTTATGTCGATGATACACTCATCACTGGCAATCACCAACACATCATTAACAATCCCCTTCAATATCTCAACATAACCTTTATGCTTAAACAACCAGGCAACATTTATCATTTTCTCCAAATTCAAACCATCTCAAATAGCAACTTCCATCAATCCAAATACCTCACAGGTATCCTCTAAACCTTAGGAATGTTCCAATGCAAATTTGTCCTCGCACCACTAACATTCAAACACCATCATACAAATTTCAGTTCTCCACAACTACCATAACCCCCTTCAATTAGCCATTTCATAGGAACCCTACAATTTCTTACAATCACCCACACCCTAAAATCACCTATACAATTAACTAGTTTTAGTCAAAACACGGACAAACATCTTCTCTATCACTTCCAGCTCCTACAATGAACTCTCTGCCATCTCAAAGGCATTGCCTCCCACAAATTACCAATCACAGCTAGATCTCTCACCACCTGCTTCGATCTTAGCTGTGACTAGCTAGTAACACCACAGACAGAAGCTCTACCACTGGCTATTGCTCCTTTATCGATGGCACACTCATCTCTCAGGCGATAAAGAAACAACGAACAGTAGCCTCCTCTTCCACTAAAGTTGAGTATCGAGCAATTGCTATTACCACCACGGATGTTCAATAGCAGTGGCTTCTACTTCACGAATTTAATATATCCATCCCTATAGCCAGTCATATCTACTGCGACAACATCTCAGTCATTGCTCTTGCCCACAATCCAATCTTTCATGATAGAACAAAACATATTAAAGTCTATTTTCACTTCATCAGAGATCACTTCAAAACTAATGAGCATTCTTCACCACATCATAACTTAGGAACAAATTGCTGACATCTTCACCAAACAACTTTTCATCAATCAGCATAAGGATCCTAGAGACAAGCTAACAATCACATCTTTAGATCATCATCTTGTCACATTCCAATTAACACAAAGTATAGCAACCTAACAACCTGTACCAGGCCTACAATCATCACTAAAAATCTCCAACTGCATTAGCTCGAAGGAGTCATCTAATATAGAAATGCAATGACCTTCTTAGCCCTCTCCGCATTACCCAATTTGTATATATAGTTCACCTCTGTACACAACAAGAAATAGAAAAAGTTTTTTCTACTACTACTCTTTCTGTATCTATCTACCTCAACAATTGCAGAAAGTTTTACAGAGAAGGGAGAAGTTCTTTTCAAATTTCATTGATTATTAGGTCAGAATGCAACTTGCAAGCAAAAAAACACTTATTTCTAGAAATATTTTTGTAATTTAAACTTCAAACAAAACTAATGCTTAAATCCTTAAAAAAAACATAATATTAATAATTAAACAGATAAAACTAAATGAAAACTAAAAATACCAGTAAATTCTAGAAAAGGTTAAAATAATTTGATACATATTGCATCATACACTAGATTGAATACAAAAACAAATCCTAAAATTATTATCTTCATAACATCATAAAAAAATTCATAAAATTCATTTGATTGTTGAGAAAACTGAGAACTCAGGCAACTAACTTCGGAATAGAGGGACAAGAAAATTTAAACATTAGATGCTAAATTGATTCATGATTTGTTGTGAGAGCATCACTTACAGAATGAATGACGAAGGACTTATAAGGCTGACCCCAAAAGAACAAGGCAAGGCTAAGTGTGCTCACAGTAATAATGATAGTTAATTGACTTTCAAGGTGAGTACTTTCAAGGTGAGTGCATGGCAATGGTGAGACGCCCTTCATATCAAAAGTTCATCACAGAAGAAATCAGAACTTCAAATGGCCATCCAAAGAAAGAAAAAAAATCCACCTTTTTCATTAAATTTTCTTGCTGTGCACTAACTAAGATTAAAAAAATGCAACACTGAATGCTATCAAAAGAAACAAAAAAAAGTGAAGGCCTTGAACTTAAATTACAAATTCCAGAAAGTTAATTCTCATATAACACAACAAAGGCCATGGAACTGACCTCTTAATGGCAATGAAATTATAATTCAAACCTTCCACTCCAGGTCATCCACTTTTTACTTTAGCCCGACGGTTATATTATTCTTTGGCCTCCAAAGGCGTAGATGTTTCATTCCTGATCCTCTTTATCTTTGGACTTGACAGAGCGCTATGTGCAAAACCATACATCTGAAGAACCTGATTATCAGCAAAATTGAATGCCCTTTCCATGCTGCTGATGCATCTCTCTACCGGATAATCCCCATAGCTACCACAGGGCTTGCATCCCACAAAATGGGTCACAAAAGGCCATCTTTCATCACCCAAACCTGGATGATGCTTTTCCATCATTTCCTCATACTTATCCACCAGTCCAGCCCAGAATCCATGCAGGTAATAAGAATTTTCTATGAAAACTTTAGTACCCCATGTGTCCTGCTGAGAGAGAAGAAGATAGATAAGTGCAGACTGGTCATCAGCCTCGAAGGCTGGCCGCCCTTTCAAACTGGCAGTAAGAATCCGACCAGCCTCATCCCTCACTGGTCCCTTCGGACCCATAGGCGCCCAGGTATCCAGCAAATCTAGCGACCATTGACAATTCCGGAAAAGGAAACTCCCAGTATTGAGCGCGATCCAAGAATGCTGATCGAAGAGGAGGTCAGGGTAGCCATGGATAACAAGATTATAGCCCTCGTACTTGCTTACCGGTATCTCAAAGGCCATGTCGGTGAAAAGCGCGTCACTGTCCATCCACCAGATCCACTCCACCTCCGGGTGCGAGAGCATCAAGCGACGAATCAACGGGAGCTTGGCCCAATAACCGGCGAGCTCGCGATCGAGGTGAGCCATGTTGTGGATGATCTCAATCCCGTGAATACGGCAATAGTCGATCTTATTCTTGGTCGCCTTGAGAAGATAATGGTCACCAATAGGGTTATCGCAAGGATTGGGCGGTGATCCTGTAACGAGCAAAATCTTCGGCTTCCCTCCAGCAATTCGATTAGGAAATCCAGGATTCGCGACCAGCCACTGCTTTCGCAGCTGATCCCAATCAGAGATCTTAGGACCCAACTTATAGCTCTTACCCGCAACATAGGCCGCAGCGTCCGCTCCAGCAAGTGTGACGTTATCGGCTGTGGTGATGTTAACAGCTGCATCAATGGAGAACTGAATATCAACAACCTCATCTGGTTCAGAATCGGAGCGGATCTCACGCAGAATGCGCTCGATGTCCTCGACGACCCTCTGGTCGGCGTCAGCGTCTGAAACTCCGCCTAGGTTTCCGACGCCGATGGTGCCTCGCAGCACAAGGATGGTGACGAAGCCGCATAGGATCGTGATTTTGATGTTGTTGAACGTCTTCTGGATCTGCCGCCTGCGAGATCCTGCTGCAGATCTACTGATCGGCAGCCCCGATCTCTTCGCCTCCTGCAACATTCGATGCGCTCTCTCTCTCTCTCTCTCTAGATCCAATAGGTCTCTAATGTCTCCGGCGAGAAGTTGGGTTCGTCGGCGTAGGCGTGAAGCAGCGAGGAGTTCAGGATTGTTGTTAAATACACCCCCTGGATGGATGACTCTACCTTGCTGGTATATATTGGAGCGTGGAGGGTGACCGGACAGCTCGATATATGGTTGGCATTTAGGAAAGTAAACGGCAGTGATGCTGACCCGATGAGTGACATTGACAAAATGATTTTCGATCATCTTAAATATAGGGGCATTTACATATATACCACACAACTGTTTTATATTTAGATATCTACCAAACTGACTTTCTTATTACATATAACACTTAAAATTTTGGCAACACGACCGCTAACTTTTAAAAATTGAAATATATCTTTTCATGTATTATTTTTTGAGAGATATAATCTCTAGTCTTAGCTTTGTACACGTACATCTTACAATTAAACCCCTATCTTTTTCATATTTTGTAAATGCTTCCATATATTTGCTTATCTCATTGCACTACCGAACATGCATTTTTGTCACAATTATTCTATCCACGAGTTGTGTTATACTATTTCCTTTATAAACAGATAGAATCACAATTGTTCACAATGTTTGCTATTCATTGCTATCAACTTTCTATGCATGCGTCAACATTTATATGATTGCATTAGTTCAATCTCATTGGAATCATGCTATCACATATTCATGCAATTGCTAAATTACCCCCTGGCTCTTACGATAAAATATTACATACTCATTAAGTATTTACTTACATGGGTAGATGAAGTGGAACTTCTAAATACTTGAAACCGTTCTTCTTTATGTTGCTAACTTATGATTGTTTTAATAGGATTTTCATTAAATCAACATTTCAGGCTATGATTGATGACTAAAGGCTGGAACTTTACCTGTTCAAGTTCATCTCGTTTCCTGAGGGATCGACAAACAGAATTCTATTTCGTATAATACTAATATGGCACTTAGGCTTGCATGAACTGCCCGTGCTAAACAGCACTTTGTGCATGTCACTTACCATGAGGAATTTACTTGTGTTTTGAAGGCCAAAGACAAAAAGGGTCTTTATAATGCTTTGGCATTATAGGGTGAATAAGTAGTATTGATAAATAAGGATTGACCAAGATTAATAATTATCGAAAGCTAGCTGACTGATAATTGATGGACGATGCATAACTAATGATTACTTAGAGCTAACCAGATAAACAACCTAATAATTTATGATAGCTAGAGAGTCGATAACGACTGAGAGGTGACTGTGTAATCAGGGATGCATCTGCCTTGAGAGTAGTATAGCAGTTTTAGTCTATAAATCATCTGCAAATCGAGTATGATTATCATTTATGGGTCAAGTTCCTCGAGTGCGCAACGCGAGTTCTATGATGGCAATTTTGTTATGATAAGCTTGTAAAGTGATTTTTTTTTCTTACTTGGAATTGATTTGTTTGAAATTAAAATATAGCTTAAAGAATAAGAAAATTTATAAGAACACTTGGACATTTTTTCCACTAAGAACCCTAAACATTGTTGTTTACAAAATCAAGCGTCCATATGCTATTTTTTTGAACTATTAAATCAATGTATTTAAGTGTGCCGCCATCAAATCATTAAAAATTTGATAAAAATGAAAAATATGAGTTTGGGTTTTATGATGAATTTTGATATTTAACTGAGAATTTGAAAAGTGGATGAAAAATGGTGCTAGATTTGATCTATTTATACATGCTACAATCAAATCATTAAGAATTTGATAAAAATGAAAAAATATTTGTTCGCGTTTTATCATGATTTTTTATATTTAAGCGAGAATTTTCAAATTGGATGAAAAAAGGACGTTGGACTATAATAATGTTTCAAGTGCAATGTATGTAAATGCCCCAAAATAAAGTAGGGATGGAGTAGCTTGAAATTATTTAAAGCTACATATTGGAAATAATTATTAATCGTGGGACTTATCATTCAGAGTATATATATATATATTAAAAAAGTAGTATTTTGAAATACCGATCCCTAAGGGTGTGCGTTGGTTCTCCACGAGAATAACTCGAGCCAGACGATATAGATCACATCATGGCGTGTGTTCGATGACGTGGTGTGATCTACGCGCGCGACATGATACGGTATCTAATTTTTTCTCCAAGCTATACACTATTTTTTTAAGCCTCCTAAATGCTACCCTGAGTGCTCTGTCATGATTTCAGGGCCTCTTACAGAACTGAGGCGAATTCATACCAAAGATTTAACATGCACACGACCTGTTCGATGAAATGCTTCAAAGAGGTGTATTCAGTTGGACCTCCCTGTTCGCCGAATACATGCGGAATGGACTCCAAGCTCAGATCTTGGATATCTTCTTCCAAATGCAAAGCGAAGGAGTGAGACCCAACACGTTCACCTTTGCTTCCGCTCTCGCTTCAGCTGCCACTGGAGGCGAGTTGCAGAAAGGGACGATAGTGCACGGCCAGCTGATCAAATCTGGACATGAAGCCACCGTCTTTGTCTGCAACTCACTGATGAACATGTACTCAAAGTGCAGGCTCATTAAGAATTCAAAATCAGTTTTTGAAGCCTTGGAGCACCGAAATTCCATTTCTTGGAATTCAATGATGGCAGGTCTTGTTTCCAACGGTTCCTACACTGAAGCACTCGAATTTTACTTCCAGATGAGGGTTGAAGGCATAAAGCCAACCCAATCGAGCTTCGTCACCGCGATAAACATATGTGCTAATCTTAAAAACCTGGTTTTTGCAAGGCAGCTTCATGGCTGCGTGGTGAAAGAAGGCTATGGGCTTGATGGGAATAGCTTGACTGCTCTCTTGGTGGCTTATATTAAGTGTGCTGAAATGGAAGATGCCCTCAAACTCTTCTATTTGACACCAGAAACTCGCAATGTGGTCTCTTTCACTGCTTTGATTGGTGGGTGTGCACAGAATGGTAGCAATGACAGAGCTGCTGTTATTTTTTCTGAAATGAGGAAGGATGGAGTTGAGCCCAATGACTTCACTTACTCCACTGTACTAACTGCTGCTCCCATGGTTTCTCCATTTCTCATTCATTGCCTCCTTATAAAAACAAGATATGAATGTTTTCCTTCAGTAGGCACAGCTCTCCTTGATGCTTATACAAAGTTTGGAAACCTTGATGATGCATTAATGGTTTTTGAGAAGATAGAAGACAAGGATGTTGTGGCATGGTCAGCCATGGTGGCTTCTTATTCCCAAGCCGGGGACACTGAGGCTTCTATCAGGCTGTTCATGGAGATGGCTAGAGAAGGAGTTGTGCCCAATCAGTTTACCATATCAAGCATCATTAATGTCTGTGCGAGCGCCACGGCGGGGGTGGATCAAGGGAGACAATTCCATGCTGAATCAATTAAGTTAAGGCTGCAGGATGATATTTGTGTGAGCAGCGCTCTACTCACCATGTATGCAAAGAAAGGGAGCATTGAAAATGCTTATAAAGTGTTTGAGAGGCAATCTGCAAGAGATTTGGTGTCATGGAATTCAATGATTTCTGGTTTTGCCCGCCATGGTTATGGAAAAAAAGCTCTTGATATCTTCGCAGATATGGAAGCTCAAGGGCTGGAAATGGATGACATAACCTTGATTGGAGTAATCATGGCTTGCACACACACAGGTTTTGTTGAAGAAGGTATTGTTAGAAAATTTTATATGTAGGATCATATATAATAACTATTTATGATGTGTTGTCTTAATTTTCTTAAGCCAATCAAAGCAAAGATTAATTATTTGGTTTATGAGGTCTCTTAATATTTATATGAAATTAATATTGTATGGATAGTAGATAGTTATTTTATTTTTTGGATGGGTTAAAATAAAATCTATACACTGAAGTATAAATAGGATCATGATCCCCAGTCCAAGAGGTTAGTTCTCTTTTTCTTGCTCACACCTCATCTTGAGTGAAATTAGGCTCTATTTCTTTCTCGGGAACATCACTTTACACATGAAAAGTCAATTATTGCACATTTACTATTAGATTTCTTCAATGATTTGACATGAGATCCGGGTATTTAACGAATTCTATTTCCCATCTTCTATTCTTTCCATCAGGTAAGAGGTATCTCAATTTGATGGTTAAGGAACATGGTATTCGGCCGACGATGGAGGTCTACGCCTGCATGGTCGATCTTTACGGCCGCGCCGGTGAGCTCGAGGAAGCCATGAAGCTCATCAAAGGCATGCCCTTCGAAGCAGACGCAATGGTGTGGCGAGTTCTTTTGGGTGTTTGTAGAGTTCACAGGAATATGGAGCTTGGAGAAATTGCAGCAGAGAACTTGATCAAACTGGAGCCACAAGACTCTGCTGCCTATGTCCTCTTGTCCAATATCTATGCTGCAGAAGGAGAATGGGAGAAGAGGGGTAGAATAAGGAGGATGATGGAGGAGAGAAGGGTTAGGAAGGAAGCTGGACTCAGCTGGATTCAGGTGAGGAACAAGGTTCATGCTTTCATGGCTTCTGATACATCTCATGCTTTATCTGATCAGATATATCGAAAGCTGGAAGAGATGAAGCTGAGACTGAGGGAAAAAGGATATGTTCCTGATACAAATTTTGTGCTTCATGATCTGGAAGATGAGCATAAAGAAGCTCTGCTGGCTCAGCACAGTGAGAGACTGGCCATGGCTTTTGGACTGATCTCAACTCCTGAAGGAAGTCCTTTGCAGATAGTGAAGAACCTGCGGGTTTGTGGTGATTGCCATACAGTGATGAAATTAATGTCGGACATTGAAGGGAGGGAGATTGTTGTGAGGGATTCAAACAGGTTTCATCACTTTAAGGGCGGGTCTTGCTCTTGTGGGGATTTCTGGTGAGGCTTTTTTAGACAATTAGCATAAGTTTTTAGAGGAGCATTAATGGAGAAGTGTCCTTATTGTAAGTACATGAGAATTGTGTGCTATGTACCTAACTTTTGTTATGTTGTGGAGCCCGAAGCACCCATTCTTGCTAGACAGCTACACGCACCAGCAGGTGGCGTGGCGCATCCGCACGTGCACATGGACGACGCACGAGCGCACCACAGGCAATTCCTTCGGTTCAATTTCCATATATTTTTGATTTCAGGCAACAACCAAATTAATCTCCACACATGCATTTCTTCTATGAGGTTTCCGTGAAGTGATGGGTTGGAGAGGAGGATTTCTGCCAACATTTCTCTTGAGGGATCGACAAGAAGCATTTGAAGCGATGTTTTGCAAGTTTCATTGTTTGTAGAGAAGAGATCCGAGTGAATTTTCTATACTTTTCTGATTTTCTAGAATCAGTGTGATCCGATTCTACATTGTGATTTTGGTTATAACTAGATGGAATGCAGAAGATAAGGACTGAGGCAAAAAGATAAGATGAATATAACTCAGAAATGGAATGCAAGGCTAAAGATAAGAACAAGCAGTTCAATTTGCTTATCATCTGCAGGACTGAGGCCGACATAGAGCTTTGCTTAGTCAGTATTCTTGGAGGGTTGCTTTGGGCTGCCCATGGTGGCTGTGCTATCTTAGAAAAATAAAATAAAATAAATTAAAAATAACATGACAAATATTTAATTAATATAAATAATTATAAATTAAACATTAAATTTTGTATTTTGTTGAATTCTTATTTGTTCATGAAGTGTAAGAGAAGAGAGAGAGAAAGAGATGGAGAGGGAGGTGCACTCTAATGAACAATACATTTTATTCATCATCTTTTTCTTGTAAAATGATCCCCTATTTATAGAGGAGATGATACAATATATGAAATCACATAATTGCCTATGTTTTAATGGAGGCGTTGCAATATATTTTATATGTATAGGTCTACTGCTCGGGTACTCTCAGACTCGGTCGGCTGAAACCAGTGATTTTTAGTTCGACAAAACATGTTCGTCCGATTGTGCTCAATTGGATTTGTCGGTCGAGATTTGATGGTCTTTGTGTCGTTGATACTTGACTTGATTAGTTTGGCTTTGTCGACCGACTGTTTTGGTCTGGTTGTCAACTATTGATTCCTGGATGAGAAACTATGTAACTAGGCTATCGGGGAGCGACTGAATCATTATAATTCGATCTATAACTCATTTCTTAACGAGGAGATCCCTCAAGATGTTTACGAGTTATGTTGTTGCTAGTTATTGGCACTGGATGATGAATCTTAGGGCCATCCATGAGACTGGTGGCAATATTAAACTCTTTCCTTGAGTCAGGTTGCTGTGATAGGCAGATCGATGTCACTGCTCGACTCAATTAGTTGTAGTCCTTAGTTCAAGTGGTTGCATCAGGTAAGTCGGACCTAAACCCAACTCACTGACCCGAATTGACATCCCTAGTAAAACACCACCAACATTAGATTAAACATTTCCAATGCGGGACAGCTCCTATTTACATGCATATCATTAAATTTCTATGTATTTACATATCTAACGCTTAAACTTTACTTCTGTGCGTGCATACCATCTTATTGATGCATTAAAATGCGTATTGCACTTTCTCAAAGTTAATATAGTTTATAAATATTGAGTGTCTCTATATGTAAATAGACGCATTACTCATCTAGGCTTCCACCAAACTAAAGTAAAATGGCCACCCAACCGTGACCGCCGTCAGCTCACAAGATCCCGACATCTGTCAATTTATATTTACAAATCTACCCCTCCCCAATCTTATCTCTAATGAAACTGACGGCGGAGAAGGCACGACAGCACGCTAATCACGCGGTAGAAAAAGCAGCTACGTCGTAACGTCGCGTTCGATTGCCGCCTCTTGTCCCCTTCCCCGGTCGCTTGAACTTCCGCTCTCTTTCCCGCATTCTCGTAATTCTGTTCTCCAATCGCTATATAAGGCGGCGTGGAAGAAGAAATTGGGGAAACCGCGAAGCTTTGTTACATCGAGCTGCTCCGTCACGATCCTTCGGAGTCGTGCAAGTTCTTCCTTCTGTTCTTTCATCCGATCGAAGAGCTTTGCATCGATCTCGTTTTGATTCAGGGGTAATTTATCAATTATATGTTGCTGTTCTTTTTCTTTTTTGTTTTTGGTAGTTGTTGGATTGAGGATTGATTGAGCTTCGTGTTGCGTGTTTTGAGGGGTTGTGTGAATTTTTGAGTTGGAAGTTTTCGTGAAATCGAAGCAGGAAAAAATTGTATTAGGAGTTTTGAAATTGGATATAGAGAGTTGTAAGCTTGAAACAGAGGTGATGGAGATTACTTGCGTCGCACGCAAGTCTTCTCAGTCGGCTTCTAGTTGAAGGGATCTGTGATATGCTTTGCTTGAATTGGCCGATTTGTGTTTTGTTTCTTATTTAATAGTGGAGATCTCGTTATTTTCGTTTGGTTTTTTGGTGCTTCGTTTTAGTCATGATGGATTCAAGTAGATCTGTTGTTACTGGATGATAACAGAAAATTACTCGAAATCTATTGCAGATCGTAAGCTTGAAGATCTCTGAGGCGGAATCATACGAAGCGACTGGAATCAGGAAAGGGAGGAAGATGGCTGAAGAGCAGCGATGCCAGGAAGGACACCGCCTCTGCACCAACAACTGTGGGCTCTTAGGTTCACCAGCGACCATGGATCTATGCTCCAAGTGCTATCGTGACCTACGCCTCAAGGAGGAGCAAGCCGCCTCCGCCAAAATAGCAGTCGAGAAATCCCTCATATCCACTTCCCCCTCCCTAACCCCCTCTCTTATCGCCACCGCACACGTTCCTGACTCTCCCCTGTCTTCCCTTCCCGAGTCCTCCGGCAACTCGGTGGTGGATCGTTCATCTGCAACGCCGGGCCGGTGTAAGGAGTGCCGGAAAAGGGTCGGTTTGACAGGCTTCCGCTGCCGTTGTGGGCTCCCGTTCTGCGGACCTCACCGTTACCCGGAGAAACATGGCTGCTCCTTCGACTATAAGGCCGCCGGTCGCGAGGCCATCGCACGAGCTAACCCTATCGTGAAGGCCGCCAAGCTCCATATGATCTGAGACTGGTTTACTTAATTGTCGGAACTCTGCCACTACAGTCGGCCTCAATTCGCGAGCTCGGCGACGATTTGGTCAGCTTTTGCGGCCTCCATCTACGGTTTGTCATCGACCGTGTTCATCTACATCTAGAATTCTCCTCTGCGCGCTTTTTTTTTTTTCTTCCTTGCACTTTCATCCCTTTTTCGTAGTTTGTTGTAAAAATACGACGGTCTACTTTCCCTTTGTTGATGAAACAACTAAAAAAGATAGTTTGGATTATGGCTGTGAATTTTGCTCGAATATTATTAATCACCCTAAAATTGATCCTAATTTTCGCTTGGATCAACTTACGGTCCGTTTGGGACAGTTTATTTGGTGTGGTAGCATTTTGGAAGCGTGTCTGACCTGTTTGGGTAATCTGTGTTTTGGCAGCTTATGCGTTTTCAAAATACCGAAAACAGCGTTTTTACAACGCATCTATCTAGGTGCGGTCCGAACTTTATGACAGTTGTCTTGCTTTTCCTAACAAAATAAAAATTTGTAATAGTCATCACACCTAGCTTATCACCAGATTATTCAATAAGATGCAGCTCCCCAAACATATTCTTAATATAATATATATATATTCACCCGAGTGGTATATTGGTTGACAGCTCAGTCATAAGTTTTCTCTGACATTATGTCGCCGACAAACATACAACCCTCCGAAATCAGTATTTGGGGGACGACCACTCTAAAAACCGGTTTCACTTTAGTTAGTAGAGCATTCGCTTCTATGGTGTAAGTTTCCTGTAGTGAGGGGTTCGACTGATATCTTAAGGAGGGTGTCCTCGAATATTTAGGTGTATGGGCTGCTAACAAATCTAAACCTAACTTAAACCGGAGTTGAGCTAATAGGACGGGCCGGGAACCTCACACCCCGACTCATTCTATATCAAGAAACGAGAATCGGTCCTTTTTTTTTTTACATATATTTAATTAATAATATATAATTTGTTTAATAAATATTATGGAAAGATAAATCTTATTTTGGAGGCATCAATATATTGCCTTTAAAATTGAATTATTTAAAAATTTTATTCGAACAATATTTGCTGGCAGAAGGTCGGAATGTCGCCTTCAATTCATATTTTGTATACAGGTATTGGCCTTAGAGGCCGATGCTTGACCTAAACAAATCATAATTATATATAAAACCATCTGGAACCTGTTATTTACAAATCAACCACCCTATCTCTTATATGTACGCGTGGCAATGTGAACCAAAAAAAAGAATAATTTATGAAAAGTGCATGTAAAAAGACATGATCTTTGATGGGAGAAAAAAAATCTTTTATTTTTAATTACCAAATTAAATAAATAAAAACCAGTTTTCTTTAGGTCATAAATAAATAATTAGAATTATAAAAATTACTAAAGATGAGCTTCATGCCCGTGCGGGTGCATGAGCTCCACCACCACTAGACTATCATTGTCTGACCACCAGAGTCCAGCCACATCAAAACCACCTTTGCCGGCACCAAATCATTGCCATCTAGGCGCCTCCTTTGTCGGACCACCGGTGTTTGACCATCGCAGCCCTGGACCACAAATGTTTGGCCATCACTACTGACACCGAACCAAAGCTACTTAACACCACCGTTAAGCTTTGGCCACCACTAAACCACTGTCGCCCCACCACTGTCGTGACGTAGCCGCCATTGGCGGGGCCCGCCCCACCGGACTATCACCACAGTCATACCACCTCTACCCAACCTCCACTGCTATTGATGTCGGACAACCATTGTCACCATCACCGTGCTTTTGCTGCCCAAAAATCGTTGTCGTTGCCACTACTGTCGATGCTAATATTAGACTCTCTTACACCCTACCCCTATCTTCTTTCCTTTATTGCAGTTGAGGCACCGCCACATCCTCGATTTTCTCGGTCACATCCAACAGGAAAGTCACATCCCACTCATACAACATTACTTGCAGATATCCAAGGGTCGGTAAAATTTTGTAACCTATATCGACATACTGGAATCATCTCGACTGAGCCAGGTCTTGTGGTTTTTGTCCCTTCAGGTTTTCCACATAAGAACTCTTGTTTATTTTTGCCCCTCCAGTGTCTTATACCGTGAATGTCAACCAACAAATCATAGTATATATATATATCACTCAACTCCTATTTATTTACTTATTGATTTGAAGATTTGCACATATACCATGAAATTTTCTTCATCACTCTATTGAAAATTATTGATCAAGTTAAAAAAAAGAAGCTTCATGGCAACGCATGACCAGTTCATGATTGTTAGTAGTCTCCAGATTAAGTAATCAAATGTGATCGCATTTATTTTTATTTATTTTTTATTCTTTCAATCTTTGGCAGTCAAAGTCAAAGGGTATTACGTGTAAATTTGAACCAGTCTTTTTCATTTAAATCATGTTGCTTGGTCAGTGAAGAACTCTAAGGTCCCTAAAAATAGTTAGATTTACATGCATACCATTTAATTCCCTATAGGGCTGTCAAAACGGCTCGTAGTTTGCGAACAGCTCGTGTTTGGCTCGTTAATTTTGTTCGATAAGTTAATTTTGTTCGATAAGTTAATTTTGTTCGATAAGTTAACGAGCCGAACACGAACTAAGATGTGTTCGTTCGTGTTCGGCTCGAAATATTACTCATCAAGTTTATATATTAAGTAATATTTTAAGAAAATCTAATTGACTACAAAGCTACAAAGATTTATAACCAATTAAAATATTAATTAAGAAAATAAAATAAAAATTATTAAATTTGTTTCAAATGCTGTTTTAATATAAATAATAATTTTTAAATCTTGCTCAAACCCTCATTGTCTTATGACTACATGATTAGAGTTGTTAAAAAGACTCTTTGTTCGTGAACAACTCGTGTTCGGCTCGTTAAGCAAACGAGTCGAACACGAACACACTTTTTGAGCTCGAAATATAAACAAGCCGAACAGGAGCTGTTCCCCCAATATGTATTTAACGTTCTTAAAAGTTAAAACTGTGCTACTTTTTATGTGATTTAACATGTAACTTGTAGGAAAAAAATAGAATTTTGAGGGTTGGATATGGAAATATATGGTACTTTGATGTGATTATAATGATACACTTGATATGACATTCATTTTTCTAACTAAATTCAATCAAAAATTTGTCACCCCCAACAGATTATTACAGCTGCTGCGGATGACATTATTTAATTTTTTTAAATGATTAATTTGATTTATCTATTTTGAGAATTTGATTAAAAAAACTTAATTTAAAGTCAACCCAATCGGTTCATATTTTTAGTCGACATAGTCATTATCGAGAAATTAAATATTTAAAAACACTTGTAGTCGTAATTTTATTAGAAATTTGCAAGCTTAAGATCTTTAAAATATTAATCTTGTCAATTCTAATCCTGATGAAGTTGAGAATCAGACTACGTGATCTGAACTTACAAACTTTAACTTGTTATTTAGATATTCTTGGAATGGTTGTTTACGTACACAGCACCCAAAACATTACTATTTATAAACCTAGCAGCCTCTTTCGGCCATTTTTCAAATTCTCACTCAAATATCAAAATTCAAGATAAAACCCCATGCCGTATTTTTCATTTTTATCAAAATCTCAGTGGTTTGATCGCGGCATGCGTAAATACATCAATTGTTTGATCGTGGCATGCTCGGGACGCAATATATTTTCGTATTTTCTCACTTCAATAGCAAGGCAACTTTTCCTTTCATATCACATCAAAAAATATCAATATTTTAACTTTTAAAGAACTGAAACACACATTTTGATACATAAATAGGGCGGCATATGTAAGTAAAAAATTGATGTTTAGGTGTTAGATATGTAATTCCATAAGAATTGAGTGGTATGCATGTAAAACTTACTTTATTACCTGCACTCAAGGTTGGATAAACTGTCCATAATGTCATACGATGGGAGATCAGCAACTGTCCATTAGAAACCTCTTTATGTTGCCCACCAACTCCTCAATCTGCTTTCTGGAATACAGGGGAGAAGGATAAACACAGAGACAGTCAAGCTCTCCATTCCTGATTGTATCGAAGAAAGCTACCGACGCGCCGACTCCATGCACCGACGAGCATCCCAAAAAATCCTCGACCCCGAGCACCTTCAACTCCTCCATCGGAGCATAGTCGATTGGTTCCTCGAACACAGAGACGAGCGCGGTTCGCAGGGACGACAAAGGCGTGAGGTGGGGGTTTTCGATTGCCTTGCACATCAGATAGTTCAGTTCTCCAATGTCTGAAAGGTGCTTCTTGTTCTTCTTAGCATTAGAGTAAGCATTGTGGCATCTAATGGCCATTTCCCAGAATCCTTCTCCGTGAACAGTGTGTGTGTTTAGGATGCCAGAATGATAGAATCCTGCGCTCATATCAAGTCAGTGTAGTTGCCAAAGATGAAAGAGTAGTACACAATTCATATGTATTTTACATATCTCACACTTGAATTTCCATATTTACATAAATCTCATTTTAAAGCTAGGCATGAAAAAGATGTATTAGAATTTTAAAAAGAGGAAATACTGTTGAATTGAGTGGTGATATTTGGGCAAATATAAAAGTTTAGGTGAGTTATTTAAATAGGAAAGAGTTGTGTGCTATGTATGTAAATGCCCCTTGGTAATTACCCATATTGGTGCTTTAAATCTATGCATGAAAAGGTGTAATTGATGTTTAATGTTGTAATAGTGCTATTTTTTTATGTGATGTTAAAGAATTTAAGCATTATGCATGTAAATATAAAAGTTTAGGTGCGAGATATGTAAATTCATAAGAATTGTGTGCTATAGATGTAAATGACCCATTTGAAAGAAAATGAAGGGGGTTTCCACTCACCAACATGGTTTTCGGTCAGAGGGGGATTCAAGTATTGTCTGCAATCGATGAGAGTGACGACCGAATAGGTTTCAGCCTGATTTTTCTGAAGATTTTTGGAGTCGTAGGTGGCGAGAAATCCAGCAGCTGTTAGAGCTGAACAGAGCTTGATCCCCCTCGCATTGCAAGCCTACATTATTAAACTAGAATAATTATTACTGTTAATCCTACGTCCTTCCCCACTCTGCAATTTACTTTGCAATTTATGCCTTGTGAAAAAAATTGTGTTATTTTTTGTCTGGGGAAGCCATGTTCTTCCAATGGAGCAAATATTACGTGCGGCAAGTTGCCGTACATCCATACAACAGTCCGGATCGATCACCGTGCGATACACGTATCGATCAGTCCCCCGCACATAATATTTTCTCTTTGCATGACATCTAAACACAATGTGGGAAACGGAACTCAAGGAGAAAAGTGGCAAAATTAAAAATTAAGCGGTGACGAATATTATATTTATCTTCTAAAAATAAATGTTAAAGCTATTATAAATATTATTATAGAACTAAAATTATAATTAACATTAAATTACTACCAAATATTTAAGTTTATGTGTCAAGATTTACATTGTATTATACGATATTTAAGAGTTTAGTAAAAATCTATAGGTAATGAATGCTTTCCCCAGCCACCTTATGTTTCCGCTATTGCCAACACATCAAGGGATATAAGATTTGTTGCTGTTATTATTTGTTAACAGAGTAATCTAAAAAAGGGTCAAATTAGATAATCAAAATTAATTCAATCTTGACGGATTAAAACATATAGGAAAAAAGATAACTTAATCATCATTAATAATACTAAATAGCATTGCATTCTTGAAGTAATATGATAATAAACAAAACACACTATATTGAAACATAACATTTCTATTTTTATGGCATTGATACATATATAATGTATTATCAAAACAAAATTCAACCAAATGCACAAGGTGTTGCCTTTTTGCTCCTGGTCCTTGCAATGGTATAGAAAAATTATACATTTGCCATGTACTTGTTAAATGGTTTTTTTAACTTAAAAATATATTTAGAGGTTGTCCGTTTTGTTAAAAAATGAATACAAATATAGAGTATTGAAAAGCGAAAATTATGATTTGGATGAATACACTGTAAATGCATGAATTTGTAATTTTCTATTTGGATCAGTAGACTGAAAAAGAATGCCGTGTAAAGTCCTTAAACAGCGCCCCGACCGGTGATGGTGAACAGTTGTTGGTCGGCAGGTGGTGGCTGGTGGGCGGGCTTCTACAATTGTGGGGGGTAGTTGGTGGTTTTAATAGGTGTAACAATCCAACCTAGAGATTTAGAGTTCTAAGGTGATAACAGTTTTTGCTCTCCCGAGTATTGTAGCCTATTCCTTTTACAAGTGGTTCATCTATAGCTTGTCTAGGGATAGGTGGTGAATTTCCCTCTCCAATTTGCTCTTCGCCGGTTATTTTCAGCCGAGCAGCCATCAACATTGTTGCCACCTACTGTTTAAAGCCGAAAATTATTGTTTTCCACTTCTGGTTAGCTGTCCCATTGTCGTTTATGTCAATTTTCAGCAGCCATCCATCCTCCTCACTCACGATATCAATCCTACAACTTTCATGACAACTTTTGTGTTCTATCACATCTTCTAATGGTCCTATAATGGTGTCATTTGATATCAAAGCCAGCCAAAATCTCGCTACGCTCCCTAAGAGAACCTTTCAAAAAGATGCTCAAGAAATTACGGCGGGTTGACAACAAGGAATTCTCCAATTGCAGCCGAGACTCATTGATTTTGAAAAAATGCAACATGTGGAAGTCACCTATAGCAACAACAATGACTACCAGATGAAGAATTGGATGAAAACCCTTTCCACTAAGAAGCTTCAAGTGATGAAGAGCCAATGTTGCGTTGATTTCACATTGAATATCAGAGAAGCCAAGATTTTGGACTAAAGGTCGATTTACCAAACTTAGATGATCGCATGGATCTGAACAAGTCATCGAGTGGCTCTAGACAGTGGAACGGGTCTTTAGATACAAGAATATCACACCTGACAGAATGATAAAGCTACCGCGGTCAAGTTAAAGAAGAGTGCATCTTTATGGTGAGAGAATTTGAAACTTTCACGAAAGCGAGAAAGGAAAAACAAAATCACAAATTGGTCCATAATGAAAAATGAAACATAGCATAAGTACCTATCAATACATTACAGACATGACGTGTTCTTAAGACTTCATCATTTATAACTGAAAGATATCTTCTTAATAGAAAAATACACAAGCCGAGTTCACGCAACTTAAGTTGAAAAATAAATTGATAGAACCCGATGAGAACACCATAGCTAGATATCAGGAAGACTGGGACCATCTACTGACAAATTGGTATAGTTGCAGCTTTATTGGAACTTGCAAGATGTCTAGACCTTAGCATTGAAGGTAGAGAGATAACACCATAAAATCAAGTCCACACTACCTTCTAAATTGGATTCAACCTTCAGATCAAGTAGCAAGCGGACACCTACCAGCGTGCCTAGGCCTATCCCATGTGAAAAAAAGTCCACATAAGAGAAAAAGAGGACTAACCGGATCAACACCCCCAAGACATTCCTAGCCGAGAAATATTTCAAATGTCATGATATCGTGCGCATTGCATCCAACTACCCAAATGAGAGGGTGATTTACTTTACAGAATATGGTCCAAAGAAGAAGGCAGAGAGTGAAGGCCCAGAAAAGGAGAATGGAGGCGAGTACCGGCTACCTACAAACGCGATGAGATGCATATGGTTGACGAGTTCTCCAAAAAAAGCCTAAGAGAGATTAGTAGTGACTCGGACATAACATCTTCCATATCCATTGTATTATAATGGGGAATGTGTGCAACCCCATCACAGATGGAGGTAGTTGTGAAAATGTGGTATCAATTGAGCCTCACCATACATAAGCATTCTCAGTCATACTCCCTAACTTAGTTGAAGAAAGGAAATAAGATTTATGTTGATAAGAAATGCAATGAAATTTTCAATTGGAGGCAAGCTTCAGGAATGGGTTTGGTATGATGTCATTCACTTGAATGCATGTTATATTTTGGAAGGCCAAATGTGACGGTATGATAGAGCCATAGAGGTACACTTCATGATGACCACAAAAATACATGCGCACTTAATAAGAACGAGAAACGTATTGTATTTTTGACATCAAAGGAGTCAGCGATGATAGTACCTGGACAAAGATAAAAGTTATGCTACCTCGTTTTACATTCCTATAGGTTATGAGAGAGGCGATAGTGAGACTGGCCTTGGTGAAGCTATAAGGCAGTTGGATGGAGGAACCCATACCTGAGACTGTGATCGTTACTATAGGAGTTTAAGAATGTTCTGACTGACAGTATGCCACCAGGATTACCACACTTACGAGAGATTGACCATGCTATAGACCTTATCCCATATTAATGCTACCCAATCGACTAGCTTGTTGGATGTGACCAAAAATGTATGAGCCGTAGAAATAGATTGAGGATTTGATGGCTCGAGAACTAGTTCGCTAGAGCACCACTTCATGTGTTGTGACAACTTTAATTTTGCTTAAAAAGGATGAATTGTGGCGCATGTGTATAGATAGCAAGGTTGTGAACAAGATCACAGTCAAGTACATTTTCCTATTTCTAGATTGGACGATTTGCTTCATCTGTTGCATGGATCCATTCTCTTGTCTAAGATTGATTTGTGCAGTAGCTATCACCAGATAAGATGAGACCAATGGATGAATGGAAGACAACATTCGAGATTTGAGAAAGATTATTTGAGAGGACCGTCATCCCATTCGTCTATCCAACGTCCCCAACACTTTCATGTGGCCAATGAACCAAGTTTTTCGAGCCTCCATTGAAAAATTTATATTTTTGTATTTCGATGACATCTTAATTTATAGTAGTTCAGAGGAGAAACACTTAAAGCATTTGTGATTTGTTTTTAAGGTCCTCCAAACAAAGCAGTATATAGTCATCCGAAGTGTAACCTTCTTACACTGCATGTGTTTTTTTGGGATACATTGTTTCGGTTGTTAGCATTTTGATGGACCCAATGAAGACTGAGGTCATTGTGGCCAGACCTAGACCCCAATCATTTACTCAAGTTCACCGGTTTCATGGACTGACTTCTTTTTACATTAGGTTTATCAAGAATTTTAGCTCGATAGCAGCATTTTTAACAAAGCTTCTCAAGTTAGATAATTTTTTGTGTTCAGATGATGCTCGGATTATTTTTTATGCTTTGAAGAAATAGGTGACTCAAGCCCCTATTCTTGCACTTCCAGATTTCAATCAAGTGGTCGAGGCAGAGTGTGATGTCTCTAATGTGGGAATTAGAGCTGTGTTAAGTCAAGGAGGGCACCCCATTCCTTTGTTCGGTGAAAAATTGAAGGATTCCAAGAGAAAGCATTCTATCTACGACGATGAATTTTATGCTATTGTGGGAGCCCCGAGTCACTAGAGTCATAATCTATTAACAAATAAATTTACTCTCTACACTAACATCGAGGCCCTGAGATACTTGAATAATCAGAGTAAGCAGGGTAGACATGGCTTATGGGTAGAATTCCTTACTTCATTCAACTTTGAGCTCAAACATAAAGTCGAGAGTTAACAAAGTAGCTGATACACTGAGCAACCGGTGCTGATTAGTCACTATGATGCAATTTAAGATGGTTTTGAGTTGCTAAAAGACTTGTATGCAGTTGATGAGGATTTACAATCCATTGGGATACGATACCAAGATAGGTCGTTTGAGCAATATCATAGATCCGAGGGACAGTTGTTCTTCCAGAATAGATAGATTGTGCATTCCTTAAAATTTGATCTAAGAGAATATTTCACAAGTGTCATGGTGAAGAAAATGGCAGGATATTTTAGCAAAGAAAACTCTCCTTACTAAAAATGAACTTTTATTGACCCAAATTAGTACAAGATGTAGAAAGACACATCAAACAGTGCAGGATATGTCATTTAACAATAATTAAATAATAAAATATTGGACAATACACTCACCTTCCCATTTTAGAGGCATTTTTTTTGGACGTGAGCATGGATTTTGTAGTTGGATTACCCTGGACAACGAAATAAAGATTTTGTTATGGTTGTGGTAGACCATTTTTTTCAAGA